TCTACGATTACTTGACATTTTTTAAATTTTCATTTAAAAAGAAATTAATGTACATTTACGCCACTATAGTATCTTGGCCAAGCGGCAACCTCCCGCTCGCTCTCTCGTGAAGCCAACGCGGAAGTGACTTAAACTGTAATTCGTCAACTGGCCGCTAGAGGCTGGCTGCAAAAGGGAGTCAATCCCATAGACCCCCCCATGTTAAAATGCCCAACTTTACAGCAGAAAAAAACATGTTTACAGCCTGGTTCAAAAAATGATTTTGGTCTATATAGCTAATTTTGCCCTTCATGACAACTGTGTGGGGGTGATTTTTTTTTATAACTCATCAGTTTAAATTATATTAAGCCTTAAAGTTCTGCATAATTAAGGGCGTGGCCACTTGAGTGACAGGTGGATTGCCACCACCGTTGATCTAGGTGGGCGTGGTTTCAGCAACCAGCTCCCGCCTCTTTGCCCATTTCCGATTATCTGGGAATGACGCGTGGCCAAGATGGAGACGGCCGGCTCCGCCTACTTTAGGCTTCAAAAATGCTCTTCGGAAACCTACGGGTGACGTCATGGACACTAAGTCCATGTTTTTATACAGTCTATGATCTTGGCATTAAACTGCAGAAAACTAGTTAACACTGCTGAGGAAGAGACAGTAAATCTGACATCTTTCTCTCTTCTGACCAATGTAATCTCTTGATATGAAAAAATAATAATATATATAAAATAATCTCTCTTCTGAAAAGTCATAGAAATACTGTTGTGGATGTTTTCTGTTGCTATTGGGGCAAATGGGAATGCAAAAAATATATTTGGTGTAGATTCCACTCACCACTATAGAATTACATTAGTTAATTACGTTAGTGGTACGTGTTAGAGGGAACTATCACTAGTACTGCTCATCCATTGGGTTAGTGATTTAATCAAACTTACAACTCTGAGTATTTAACTTTGTCATGCATTATGATATAAATGATACCGATTACTGTTGCACGATTAATCGCATTTTAATTGTGATCATTATTTCTGCTTCTCTCGATTATTTAGGCATAATCGTCTGCAAAATCTGCGATATACACAAAAATAAATCTCGACTATATTGCTTGCGATTGTAGTTGTTGAATAAATGTATGGTAGCATAGAGGTTGCATAAGGGCAAATACTTTTTTAGTGTTTTAAAAGAAATGCATTAACATAATTTAAAATTACTACAATCAATATTAGGAATTTCTCTGTTTTAGCTTTTGAGAGAAAGGTTATACCAGTTTTCTTAATGAAAAGAGTGCATTAATGTACGTGATAAATAAACCAATCGGGAATATAATATAATAATATTTTCTTAATTTGTGTTTATGTGTAAATGCAATAATTCTAATGAAATGTAAAAGAAATTTGTCAAATTAAATTGATTGTGATTAATAATCATTTTGAGCAAAATAATTGTGATTATCATGCAGCCCTTCATTTTGCTATAAGTGGTGTGCTATTACGTTTCTATATGATCGGAGTTACGTTTTTATGAGATATGAGTACACTAAATATAGTGTATAAGTGCATAGTGTATAGTGCTTCATTTGGGACACAACTTTCGTAACTGTATATCAACACCTTGGCAAGCACCCAGAACACTTTAGCATCGTGGCAGTGAGTTTTGCACAGACAAGCAACAAAAGGCATAAATCTAGTTGTTATTTACTGCGCACTGTATTCAAGCACAAACATTTTAGCTCACGTCATCTGTGCAACATGCAGCTAGTGTACGTTTCCACTATTATCTGTAGATGTTATCGTCTATCTAAACATTCTGTTCTCCGCTGCACGTCTCCAGTCTGTCCTTACATATGATTTATTTTTCAAAGTCATGGAACCTATGGGTAAAAATAAATAAATAATATAAATAAATCATGCAGTGCCTATAAGAGGGCAAAGACAACACGTCAGCAAAAAGAAAAACAACAGGCGGTTACAGGCCAGCTAGTTTTTACAACATCTTGGTGTAGGACAATTCTGTTTTTCTCAGGAAGAGACTGCCTCATGGAGAGACGTGTCGGTTTTCTTCTAGGTCCTGTTTGTCGTTTCAGCCAGCATCAGCATATTGTATATAGCTGGTTCAGTCCTTTTTGTAGTACTACTAAAAATAATTAATAATAATAATAATAAATAATAATAATAATAATATTTGTTAAATGCCTCGGATTGTTCATGATATACAGTGGTGTGAAAAAGTGTTGGCCCCCTTCCTGATTTCTTATTTTTTTTGCATGTTTGTCACACTTTAATGTTTCAGATCATCAAACAAATTTAAATATTAGTCAAAAATATTAGTCAAAGATAACACAAGTAAACACAACGTGTTTGCCCCCCTGTTAAAACTGTGGTTTATCACACCTGAGTTCAATTTCTCTAGCCACACCCAGGCCTGATTACTGCCACAAAAAGAAAAATCTATAATTTTGACCCATACAATGTATTTTTGGCTATTGCTACAAATATACCCCAGTGACTTAAGACTGGTTTTGTGGTTCAGGGTCACATATATATATATATATAAAATAGTTGGCACACAACTCATAATCTATTGTACCATTACAAAATATTAGATAATGCACGAACTGAAACTTAATGGGGAAAAAACCTTTTTTACAGTTCTTATTAACAGTCATTTTTAATTTAGAACTATACTATTGCTAATTGTTTATTCAGAATACACTGACAATATACATGTGTTAGTAAATATAATAAATTACATTATTAATAAATGCAGGAAAAGTATTGTTTATCATTAATTCATGATTTCTAATCAACCTGCCTAAGGACTACGGATGAAAATTAGCCAGTTTGACTAAATCTTTGGCACATTTTACATATTGCCATGTATAATTAATGTGTGTTGTCTTGGATAAAATAAAATAAAATAAAATAAAGCATTAACTAATGTAAGTGGACTGACCCTTTTTGTTAGCCCCAAAAAAACACACTGCAAAAGATGTTAACTTGACACCATTTGTCATCATTTTAAAAAATCCATTAAAAAGACAGACTCTGAAAGCTTCTTGTATGAGGGTGGTCATATACATTTCCAGTGTATACCATGGTATTACCTTCTGACAGCCTCACTGTACCACGGTACCATCATAAAAGCATTTTAAAGTTTGTTAAATTTACCTTTTAAACAGCTAGTTTTCCTTGGAAGCAAGGGAAGCAGTTCCTCTTAACTAAGCTTATAAATTATGCAAAATTACAAGAGCAACAAACCCAACAATCATCACATGTAGAACGCAAAGGACAAAAGTCAAATTCAGGTGGTGATTGCATTTCAGTCATGCATGTATATCCCAAAGCACATGGTGAAACGATCCCCTATCCTCCTAGACAATGTATGAAAGCTTTGTCTTCAGAAACACTGTTGACAAGCGAAATGTGCTTTACATAAGCCTGGCACTGGAGAGGTTTGTTTATTACCAGCCAGAGCCGCAGCATTATGAAGCATCAGCGAGCCTGAAGTGTGCATGCATTCACAACAATAGAACGATGAACCAATGAAAGCCACACCGCATCAGATCGCTCACCCTGCACGTGAGCGAATTACAAACTAAACAGTTTTGCAAGATATGGATCTTGCATGCATGACCTATGAGACATGTTACTGAGAGCCAACAAGATGAAAAAGAGCCTTATCAACCAGCTACACCTGGTTACATTTCCTAAAGGGATGCAAACAGAATTCCATTATGATTTAAAAGCAATTCTAATTGGAACTTTTTTACAAAATGATACGTCACACAAACAAAAACTAGATCTTTCGGACCATCAATAGAATCGAAAAGAATCCATGTGATTTCCTTTAAAATGTCCAGCAGCGAAACATTAATTCAGTACAAGTCATATAAAGCTCTGAAAAAGAGTACACAATATCCAATAAGCCTCAAGAATAAAAAAACACCTGGAAATCCTACTGGATCCTACTAGAATTGGTTTCAAATTCCAATTCCAATTCCAAGTATATATATACAGTATATATCCAGTACCTATTTCTATGTATGTATTGACTTAATACTTGATTTACCATCTTAAGGATTTATGGTGGTCTTTCAGAAAGCCATGCTTCCTAACAGGACTTTTACATCACCAATAGAACAAATGGCTTCATCAAAAGGAATGTAAAGAAAATCTTTCACAAACTCTCAGCTTCCATGTGATTTCCTTTAACCGCCCAATAGCAAGACATTATTCCATTACAATAAGTAGAATTGTAGAATCGTTTAATCCCCAAAAATCCTGGAGGAATTTCAGTTCATCCAGTTGGATTTGATTCTTAAAGGATTCTTACTGCACTCTTAAAAATAAAGGTGCTTCACGATGCCATAGAAGAACCTTTTTGCCCAAATGGTTCCATAAAGAACCTTTAACATCTGAAGAACCTTTCTGTTTGACAAAAGGTTCTTTGGGGTGAAAGAAGGTTCTTCAGATTATAAAAAGGTAAGAAAGAGATGGTTCTTTAAAGAACCTTTGACTGAATGGTTCTTTGTGGAACCAAAAATGGTTCTTCTATGGCATTGCTTGAAGAACCTTTTGACGCACCTTTATTTTTAAGAGTGTGGATCCCATTAGGGTTGGTTCCAAACGTTAATGCTCTTCCATATATTCCTCCAGGATTTTATGACTAGGGTGGATGCAATGACTTGAGCCTTCTACAAGATCAAATGTGCACCATGGTCCGAAATTAACAAGGGTTTAGGGGAAAAAATGCTCTATATATATTTATAGTCTGGGGGGCAAAAATGTGTAATTCATCCTCTGTTTTTATATTTTTCGACCATTCCTAATATTTTAGGCCAGTAATTACGGTTTCAGCGCCTCCGCAGACTTAATATGAAGCGTTTGTGATGAAATCAGCCATTCACATCCTGACAAAATGTCACTGGAATTAATTTACCTAATAATAAAAAAAGTTAATTTCTGACTCTAATGTGCATTAAATCTATCGCTAATATGACTGAGCGGCTCACCTGGTAAGTTGGATGTCGGTGCGTTTAAATCCTCAGGGTGATGCGTTCCTTCTTGGCGCAGGATGCGGGACAAAGCTGATAATTTCACCTGCCTCTCCTCCAAAGCGATCACGCGCACCGGGCTGACATATCGGTCCGACACGGGGGTCTTTGAGCGGGTCCGGTGCGCACCGGGCGTTTATAGCGCAGTGGATCCGCGTTCTTCCACCGGCTCACGCAGACACAATGTCCCTTTCGCGACGGGATCTGTCGGGATCCGGTGTGCGGACGCCGCTGCTGTAATTCGGTGAAGATATAACGGGTAGGTGTGGTTGGGTGAACGGACAGAGACAAACAACCGTGGCACGGGTCCAAAACAGCAGTCCTGCGTTAAGACGCACAGCGCAGCGTGTGTGTCCGCCCGCTGAAAGCCTTTCAAATGCAGAGGATTCACGTGCATATGAAGATATCAATGTCTGAGGGTCCTTAAATTGTTTCGGGGATGGTTAATAACGCCGTACATCCTCCTGGCAGTCTGGAACGGAGCGGAGCGTCTCTCCAGCGGTTCCTTTGGCGATGCTCATGAATCAGTATGTGCATGCGTTCTGCTGTCGTATAAACTGATATTTACATCCACCAGCACTGCGTGAACACGAGCTTCATCCGCGGGCTTCAGACTGAGGCACCTAACCATCCAAGAGGGGGGATGGATCTCTCTCTCTCTCTCTCTCTCTCTCTCTCTCTCTCTCTCTCTCTCTCTCTTTCTTTCTCTCTCTCTTTCCCTCACGCACAAGCACACACATTCATTCGCTTAGGCAACGTATACACACTCTGACAATTAGATCTAATTAATATCTCAATTGTTTCTCCTACAGATTAAATGGAGAGCAAATAGAAAGAATGGATTTTCCCCTGAGAAAAACACCCTATTGATTTCACACGTCCTCTGAGATTCAGTGGAGATCTCAACAATGCCTCAAACTGTATTCAAAATTGCATATCTCAGTACGAACAGAGGTATCTCTCATCAAAGTGGTTTAAGACCAAATGATCTGTACCCATATTAATTCCATGTGACCATATTTGGTTTCCGTCTTATGTGGTTTCAGGAGAAACATCTGAGATAAAGTAAGTGCTTGAATTAAATGCATTTTAGGCCTACATCTTCATTAAGTCTTCTGAGATGTGAAAGATCAACCTCTAAGCAATATGATTTTTAATAGCTACTGGAGAGCACCCTCCTTAGACTTCTACTGCTATAAAATAAAGCTAATTATGATTACACTCTTTAAAATGTATATTAATTACATAAAAAACATGTTTGTATTGTCTATAATAATATACTTTAGTTTTCATCCATACACAGAAATCTGAAGAACCTAATATTGCGTCAAGAACTTCAGCAAAATAAAAAAATTAAAAAACCTTAAGAATCCTATACAGAGGATTCCTTTATGATCTGAAAGAGAAGGTTTACCCCAAAATTCAAATTACTTATCATTTATTCACCCTTGTGTCGTTTCAAACCTGTATGACTGACTTTCTTCTGTGGAGCATAAAAGAAGATATTTTGAGAAATGTCTTAGTGTTTTGTTTTGTTTTTCTCCATACATTGTAAGTCAGTGGGCTCTATAATGTTGTTTAGCTCACAGTGTTTTTCTTCTTTTGTGTTCCACAACTGGGTTTAAATACAACCCAGTGCTGGGTAAAATAGGGACAAACCCAGCAATTGGGTTGGTTTGACCCAGCGGTTGGGTTAAATGTTTAACCCAACCTTCTGAGTAGTAACACTTTGATATCGTACACTACCATTGTACAATATCATTTGTACATCATATCATATACTGATCAATAATACAGTAAAACAGTACACTCTAAAAATGGCTGGGTTAAATATAACCCAGCGCTGGGTTAAAAAGGGACAAACCCAGCAATTGGGTTATTTTGACCCAGCGGTTGGGTTCAAAACAACCCAACTGTTGGGTCTGTCCCTTTTTAACCCAGCACTGGGTTGTATTTAACCCAGCATTTTTTAGAGTGTAATATATAATATAAAATATAATATAATATTAATTTACTATTGACCCAACCCATAACCCTAACTGCAATTCTATACTGATGATTTTAGGTTGAACCTGCAGTCAAACAAGTTTTTAAAAAAAAGCATTCATAACGGTCCACAAAATGAAGTGCATAAAAAATCCAGGCAGTCTAATTCTATTTCATATGTAAAAACATAGAAATTTATGCAAGTGTCATTTCAACACTTCAGGTGACTCAGCAGCATAGACGGTACTGCTTTTCTCTTTCTGTCACACATGCAGAACAGATTTTCCAGATGGATTCTCAGCTGATTCACTGAGATGTGTGGGATTTTTGCTTCGGAGTCTGATATATTCGCCAGTACGATGTGACTCATTAAAGTTTAAAATGCGCTCAAAAGACTACAAACGCACTGAGCCACAGGATCAAAAGCACATGCATGCATTTCTCAAGGGTTGTTCACATCAAATAGCAATGCTTAAATCAGACAAATTAGCAAATTAGTAACATTCAGTGCTTGTACTCCTTAAATAAATCATAAAAAAGAGTTTCAATTGCAGAAAAAAACTGGAAAAATAAAGCCCTTTTCAAGTGTGCAATGCAAATATTTTTTCAGGCCTGAAAACAAGACTCTGAAAGCCCAGTTTCCCCGATATCCCCCAAAGAACCTGCGATCAAAGAGAAGAGAGAGAGAGATAGGGGGGAACACTTTTTAGTAATATTCCTGTCAGGCAGGTTTTCATCACCCTTGCTTCTGTTGCTGAGGAGATGAGCATCAGGAAACCATTACGCTGATATTTCTAGGTAAGCATTGAAACAGATGCCGCTTTGATATGGAACGGGGAAAAAGTATCCGATTCTGACATCTACAAATTGGACACAGGTCAGTGGCAAATCACTCCAGAAAGTGTTTTTAGCACAGACCCTGCAAAATTGAAAACCTATGTGCAAATCACTACAAAAGCCAGCAGGCCACACCACAACATTGTAGCAATTTATGCCAATAAAATGGGTCACCGAAAATGAAAAGTCTGTCCACTGCTCTCAAATCACATTTGAAAATTTAGAAATGTAGCATTATGTCACTTGCTCACCAATGGATTCTCTGCAGTGAATGGGTGCCGTCAGAATGAGAGTCCAAACAGCTGATAAAAACATCACAATAACCCATAAACCACTCCAATTAATCAATCATCAATTAACATCTTGTGAAAAGAAGAGATGCGTGTTCATAAGAAACAAATCCATCGTTAAATCAATTTAACTTCAAACTGTCACTTTTGGTTAACATATGAGTCCATAATCAATAATAATAATACTTCCTCCAGTGAAAAAGTCCATTGTCTGTTGCCCTCTGACATCTGGCTTGTAAACGGTGATCTGTGCACATTTCTCTCCTGATTCAGACGGGATAACCTTTTTTTTTGTTTTTTACTGGAAAAAGTCTTAATGATGGATTTGTTTGTTACAAACTCGCAACTTTTTGCTTTACAAAACATTAACCGATGGACTAAATGGAGTCATGTGGATTACTTGTGAATTATTGTAATGTTTTTATCAGCTTGTTCGCAATCTCATTCTGACGGCACCCATTCACTGAAGAGGATCCATTAGTGAGCAAGTGATGAAATGCTACATATCTCCAAATCCATTATAATGAATAAAAAAACTCATCAACATCTTAGGTCAGTAAAATTCCATTTTTGAGTAAACTATTTCTTTAACTCACTGATGGCACACTTAGCATAAGAAATGAGAATTAAGAGCTGCAGCAGAGGGGAAGATTTAAATGGATTATTATTAAATGGACCGTTACAGGATTCATTTGAAATCCTTTAAACCTGAAGTGCAAAAATGCAAAAAAATAATGGCTTTTCAAACAGGTTCAGCTTTCTTGCACTGGTGGGAACGAATAGTATCACTCCAAACTCAAACATTTGTTAGCTGCTTTGGATAAAAGCGTCTGCTAAATAACGCTGAATCAATGTAAACTCACGGCTCTTTGAGCCACCGTTGCTGTGTCGAGCTGGTAGGGATGAACAAACAAACAAAGCAATCAGACACAAAACCACGTTTTACACTTAATGAGGATCAACTTCCTTATCGTTGACTCTATACACATCAAGCTGGGATAGTTGAAGGTAACAGAAAAACTCTGTTTTATTTGAACGGAGCCATATAATTGCTTTTTATCTTCAACAGCTTCAAAACATTTTAATAGATAATGCTACAGAGCGTGTAAAAATAGACACATATTACGGTATCCCTGGAGACGGCACTGAAAATCACAAACAGGTTTATTGACTGTGGGTGTGATGTGATGTGAAGATTGTTCATAGGCGGGCAGTGAGTGACAGCGGTGCTGCATCCAATCGTGCTGAAGACAGAGAGACTCTGCCATCTAGTGCTGATGCAGATTCTAACGTGATGTCGATTCCTAGACAGTCTTTGCATTGGGAATGTTATTCTGAGACACAAATGCCAGCAACAAGCTTTTGGCATTGTACAAATTCTCTGTTTATGACAACTTTTTTGCTTCTTAAATATATATATATGACATTAAATTGTTTATGGCAATCAGGGCAGTAGGCCTAACTGGCACAAAACATCTGTTAAGAGTAATAGCATTAAATATGAACGGATTAATTTACACCAAACAAAATAAAGCTTAAAAAAAGTGTTAATAAATAAATCTAACTAAAATTAAATAAAATATAATAAAACTACTCGTTTTTTCTATGGAGGCTTGTTTCTGCCACAGGATGCTAAACTATAAAAACTTTTTATATATATATATATATATCATTTATACATCTCGCAATTCAGAGAAGAAAAAAAAGTGCAAATTGTAAGATAAACTCGGAACTGTGAGAAAAAAGTCTGAACTCTGAGATAAAAGGTCGCAATTACCTTTTTTAATTTTCTTTTTCCAAGGCTGAAACGTTATACAATTTTTTTTATTGCATTATTTTTCAGCTAGTTGCCAAGGCAACATGTCATTTTCATTAAGTTTAACGATGCACTAACATAACTCAAACTAAATCAAAATGAACAAAGACTATATATATATACCTAACTGGCACAAAACATCTGTTAAGAGTAATAGCATTAAATATGAACGGATTAATTTACACCAAACAAAATAAAGCTTAAAAAAAGTGTTAATAAATAAATCTAACTAAAATTAAATAAAATATAATAAAACTACTCGTTTTTTCTATGGAGGCTTGTTTCTGCCACAGGATGCTAAACTATAAAAACTTTTTATATATATATATATATATCATTTATACATCTCGCAATTCAGAGAAGAAAAAAAAGTGCAAATTGTAAGATAAACTCGGAACTGTGAGAAAAAAGTCTGAACTCTGAGATAAAAGGTCGCAATTACCTTTTTTAATTTTCTTTTTCCAAGGCTGAAACGTTATACAATTTTTTTTATTGCATTATTTTTCAGCTAGTTGCCAAGGCAACATGTCATTTTCATTAAGTTTAACGATGCACTAACATAACTCAAACTAAATCAAAATGAACAAAGACTATATATATATATATATATATATATATATACATAAAATACTCGAACTTAAACTTTAATCAAAACAAAAATATA